GAGAGAAGGGAAGAGAGAAGCACAACGCACAGGAATCAGCAGGGTGCATTGTTTGTCTGCAGGGAAAGAGCAGTGTGAGTCCCATTGTGCAGTGGTGACGCATTTAAATGGAGATAAAGGCATTTCGGTGGGAGTGAGGGGAGAGGAGACGGGAGGGAGAGAGGGCGGGGATGGGCGAGGGGCGGACGCGGAGGCAACGTAAAAAAAGATTGCGGGCGTCCGTCTGTCGTGCCAGAGAGGAACAATAACAAACAACAGCAAGGGTGGGCGAGCGCCAATTGCAACCAACTGCCATGCCGTGTACGAAAGTGCAATGGGGCTCTGGTAAAGTACACTCCCCCACGATCGGCCCTTCACCTTCTTTACTCTCGATTTAAGGGTGGGCGTTATGTAGAAAAAATAGAAAGGTGCCTTAAAGAAAACTCACGGCAGCAGTCGCGCGGTATGTCAGGTATGCTACAGTTCAGTGCCCCTCCTGATGCACGCCTCGCAGTGCGGGCTGGCCAGCAGTCCCGCCCCACACCGCCCCCCCGTCGCCCCCCGCCTGGCCGCCGACCCCGATGGAGGGTCATCCTCGACCCCCGCCCTTGCAATTTGCAGTTCCAGAGAGCTTTTGCTGACGACACTCCGTGCCACGGCCCGCCGCCCTTCGCCTCGGGTCGGCGACGCTTTTCCAACTTTGCCAAACGAATCTCAGTCCAGAGCAAGTCCCCCCCCCCTCCTCCTCCTTTACCCACCTCTCCTCTCCTACACAGCTCGGCGCCTCATAATGCCATTTCGCCAAAGCCCATCCGTTCACCGCCACCACCGCATCGCGCTGCGGCCAAGCAGTTCAAATGCCAAGTCCGGGAAAAAAACAACAACGAAATATTTAGGAAATAACCCAACAGCTGTGAGCGCGGCACTCGGCGCGGCGGTCAGAACTACCCGGTGCGTTTCACTTTTCCCTTTGGTGTTGCCGCGCCACGGGGCGCTACGCCAGGCCCCGACACCCTCCGCACTTTCGTTCCATGTGCGGTCGTTCGCTGACCGTGGCACTGCCGAGCGCTGCCGGCGGGTGCCGCGGGGGCGCGCTGTGCTTTGTTCACACGCCAAAGGGCGCCCGCCCCGCCCCGCCCGCCCCGCCCCGCCCCGCCCCGCCCGCACGCACCGCCGCCGCTCCACACCAGCGCCCTGCGCCGGCTCC